CCTTGCTGTAACAGTGAAGGGCACTTGTGTTTCCAGTTGGTGAAAGTAAGAAACTCAACCTTCAAGGACAAAATATTAAAACGCGGCACCAAACTTTCCGCTTTCTCCACCCCTAGAAAAGCTACAGACAGTGAAGCCAAATGCAGTTATGTGTGGTTTATAAGTGCGAGTTGTGTGATTTTTCTGTTTGCTATTGGAATGAACGGCGTAAGTGAACACTATCCGACTGGGGCTGTTTTGGGAAAAGAGAATACATGCTCTTTCTATGGTTGTTGGACAAGACAAAGACACAGATGATCTATAGCGTCAGGCCATAGCTCAGCACACCAGAGGGTGGAAACTCAAAGCTATCAGCCTTAAGGCAAACGCTCCCTATTTATGTACAACTGATAGAAAATAAAAAAAAAATATATATATATATATACACAATTGTAATACATTACATTATGCTCACCTTGTACATGACCAAATATGTAGGTATATGTAAATAATGCAAATAAGGTATGGACTTTTTGATGAAAGAACATGATGTAAAAAAAAAATACAGAGAAATAATAAATAGTTGCTACACACCCTGCGGTGTAAGCCTGATCTTGTTTTGTTTATGTAAGTTGGCGGGGGGGGGTTCCCAACGTGGGGGGTTGACTTCCAGAATATGTTCATGAACTGTGAGAAAATTCCGTTGTGACCAATACTGGTCGCTCGATCTTCTGTGGGGATCCCCCACCCTGGTGGATGGTATGTACCACGGGGGAAAGGCTCGTGGGTCTCTTGAGCTGTTATTTTGTGGGTCGTGGGTCCTGTGACGTAACTGACGATTGACATTGAAGGCTCTGCAATATATTGTACATTCTGAAGGCACAATTCAACGATAATAATCAGGACAGAATGAATAGTGATGCAGCATCTATGCTTTTTGGCCCCCTAATGATGCATATACCATCATGCTCGCCTTTAAGACATATATACAGTTGAGTGCGAAACTGGGCGCCTTTTATTTGGTGCCCTTGTAGCATTTCAGGGGGTTAAGATCCTTACTCAAGGGCCCAGACTAGACTGTTATGCTTGGGCTGATGCTCAAACCAGCAACCTTTTGATTAGAGGAGCCGAGACTTAACCCAGTGTGCCACATAGAATGTAAGCTGTCGGTGTTAAAATTTCTTAATGACGACAGAAGCGAAAAAGGAAGAAAAAAAAGGTAATATGTCAGCAAAACTCGCTTAAACACCTTCGGCTTGCGTCCGGGGGCTGTTGGTAAAAAACAGGGTCACAGGAAGACTGTCAGTCACTGCGTGGGTGTGCTTACCCGAGCTGACACCGAGGACGGCGCTGCCTTTCGCAGAAGCAGGCTTCTGATCAGGCCTCTTCAGGCTTGACACCTTCTGGTGTGTTTCCTCCCTCGGCATCGCTTTAAAGTTTTTTTCAAATTTGTAGGTCATCACTGTTGCATGACTTCTTTTTTTTCTCTCACCTCATTTTACCCTTTCATATTGGGTGGTTGGGGGGGGGTCGCGGATGCTGTAAGTGGTATGGGTAGCTGAGAGGTCTGGACCATAAACCTCTCATGTATGTGCTTTCAGCATCTCAGAGTCAGCATCAACCCCTGAGACTGCATTTCTAGCCCTAACCACCATACTTCCTGTTGAAATTCTTGATAAATAGTGCTTTGTATCCGTGTTGCTCAGAGTCACAGTTTGCACTTTTGGTGCAAATCTATTTGTGAGGCTGCTGCTTTACTGCTCACTGCAGCTAAGCCTTGGAAGCAGAAGTCTGATCCCCTGCAAGTGAATCTGTTTGCCCATTTTTCTCCAGCAGTAAGCTTTGCTTTGAGGGAAAGCATTCAGTAAGTGTGACAAGTCAATGCTTCATATTCTTCACTAAGCTTTTCTTGGTGAGGGTTGAGTTGCAAATCAAATTTAAATGCAATTTAACTGAATGTTTTGGAGGTAGAGAAGTCTTTATTACCATAATGGACCTTCAGCTATGATTGCTGGGTTTAGTTGATGACTCAAGGACACTGATCAGCCATAACATTAAAAGCACCAAGACATAACATTTGGCGGCAAGATGTCAGCAGCAGATCCTTTATGTCCTGGAAGTTGCAAGGTGAGACCTCCATAGATCAGACTTGTTTGTCCATCACGGTCCAGAAATGCTAAATCGGATTGAGACCTGAGGAATTTGGAAGCCAGATAAACACCTTGAACTCTTCATGTTCCTCAATCCATTCCTGAACAATTTCTGCAGTGTGGCAGGAAACATTATCCTGCAGAAAGAGGCCATCGGGAAACTTGTCTGTACTTGGTCTGCAACAATGTTTAGGTAGGTGGTAACATCCACATGAAGGCCAGGATCCAAGGTTTCCCAGCAGAACATTGCCCAGGGCGTCACACTGCCTCCGCTGGCTTGCCTTCTTCCCATAGTGCATCCTGGTGCCATCTCTTCCCCAGGTAAATGATGCACATGCACCTGGCTGTTTACATGATGTAACAGAAATCATGGATCCTCAGACCAGGCCACCTTCTTCCATTGCTCCGTGGTCCAGCTTTGACACTCAGATGTTTGCTGTAGATGCTTTGGGAGGTGTACAGGAGTCAGCATGGACACTCTGACCAGTTCGCAGTATGCAGCCCCGTACACAGCAAGTGTGACCACTTTTTGTAGGTACTGACCANACAGGAGTCAGCATGGACACTCTGACCAGTTCGCAGTATGCAGCCCCGTACACAGCAAGTGTGACCACTTTTTGTAGGTACTGACCACTGCCTACCAGGAACACCCCACAAGATCTGCAGTTTTGGAGATGCTCTGACCCAATTAGCTAGCCATCACAATCTGGCCCTTGTCAAAGTCACTCAGATCCTTACACTTGCCCATTTTTCCTGCTTCCATCACATTAGCTTTAAGAATTGGCTGTTCACTTGCCTATTATTTAATGGCACCCTTGACAGGTGCCATTGTAACAAGACAATCAATGTTATTCACATCAGCTCTAAGCAGGGATTGACATAACTGGTAGCCAAGTACGCATTCACTTTTAAAAGCGATAAATGCGGCAATTGATTGTTGTAGCAGCGTGAATCTATATGTATTTTATGTGCATTTGTGCTGATGTGACAAGAAGTTATCGTGCATTGTAACCTTTATATGTTAATTCGTACTTCATTTGCAGTGTAGAGGTTAAAATGCAGGATAATTTCTTGTCATATCGGCACAAATGCACATAAAATACGTTTCTACCAGGCAGTTGAGTACTATGTGACTGAGACTCATTATGATCAACTGGTTGGTAGATACAAAATCTTGGTCTGGATTTATAGTCTCTGAACCTGAAGTTTGGCTTCTCAAGTGCATGTTTGTTATTGTCACAGTTGAGTTCATCTGTCTTGTTTTTGGTCATCTTATTCATTTTTACCATCCAACCGGGTTTTAAATAAGAATTACTATTAATGAATGCCCAGTGCTGTTTGTTCTGAGAAATTGTACAACAGTGCAGCCGTGTTTGTAACACCATCATGCAAGCACAGGTAAAATGTAGTCTTAAGAAATTGGTGCAGGCATGTCTGCTATGCTGGTGACATACTTTATGAGGCGATACCCTAAAATCCAGCAAAGTTTAACGGAAATATAAACTTTCTGTAGATGAAACACGATAGTATCTTTCTACAGGAAACCTGTATGCACTTTGAAGCAGGTTTTTCCCTGGTGCAAACATTGCAAAGAAACTCTTGCAAATCTTTGCCTTCATTGTTTGCCAAAGACATGGAAAGACTGTGAATTGGTCATGAAAAGGAAAATGAAA